GTTGTGTTGGAAGCTGCAGTCGTAGCAGCAGTTGTGTTGGAAGCTGCAGTTGTAGCAGCAGTTGTGTTGGAAGCTGCGGTCGTGGCAGCGGTTGTGTTAGAAGCTGCAGTTGAAGCTGCAGTTGAGGCAGCCGTAACAGTGGGTGCAGCAGTCGAAGTAGACCTGGAAACTGTACAGTACCATTGGTTAATCCATGAAAATATGATGCAGTCACATGTTTTACATATACAGCCAATAAACACATTAATTAAGATTTTGGATTTTACACTTACTTGTAGTAAGACTGCCTGGTATAATGTTCAGGGAGGAGGAGCTGCTGGTAAGCTCACTACTGAGTTGTGAAGTTGCATTAGTTGTTGAAGGCACTGAGCTTTGATTTACAAACATGAGATCCATATTGGCAACCACCGATCCATTACTATTGTGACAGTGAAAGAGAACAATACCATTAAGGCAAGTAAAAGACATTTTATTTTATTTTTTTAAATTGTTCGTGGCTGAAAATTGGGCTTACGTGAATGCCACAACACTGGAGTTAATGAAACTTGATCCATAGAGGTTCCGACTTGCTCTGTTTACCTGAAATATATTTTTACTGTCAAATACTTTGAAGCACCAAATAAAAGCAAATAAATCTGACTTTATCTAGTTGGTAGTTTTGGTAAAGCATACAGCTACAATGCATTTTTTAATGTTTAAAGCAAAGTAGAAAATCCAAAAAAGAACTTCATATAAACAGGAATAGGCTCCATATGTGCTGTATTTCTGTTAATTCATCAAATGTGTTTATTGTATGTTGTCAATTTAAATTCAAATAACAATGACTCTTGCTAAAATGAACAACAGCAACAAGAATTTTCTTATATTCATTGTCCATTGTTAAGAAAGAAACAAGTTTATCATTAGATACTATATGGGAAGCTCACCTCTGTGATCACAACTGCAGCTAAATTTTGAAATGCTGTTGACGATGGGTTGGACAGATCTGGTGTGAAGGTTTGATTAAGGCTAAACTGAAGACCCAGGGTGTTTTCACTGGATGAAGCTGTAGTTAGAGCTGTTGTTGGAGGTGCAGTCGTAGCAGCTGTAGTATTAGGAGCAGCAGTAGAGCCAGCTGTAGCATTAAGAACAAAAGATGGAGAGGCTGTAACATTAGGAGATGCAGTTGTGCTGAGTTGCAGTGACGTCATGTTGACTAGTCGTGAGATTATATTTAGGGGTGATGAGGTCATGTTACCTGTTGATGAGGTTGGACTAGGTTGGGGTGAGGTTGCATTGGGTGCTGGTGAGGTTGCATTAAGTGGTGATGAGGTCATGTTGACTGAGGGTGAGGTTGCATTGGGTGGTTGTGGTGAGGTCATACTGACTGGGGGTGAGGTTGCATTGACTGGTGGTGAGGTCATGTTACCTGGTGGTG